TTAAAGATTTCTACTTTTATAGCTAACCTAAAAATGAAGTATTTTCTTTAAAAATTTTTCCTGGCAAATTTTCTACATAGTGCATCTACATAACTTAGTTTCATAATAAAATAGACGATTTTAGCTTTAATTTGAGATATAACTCTTATCTTAATTCCTAGAAATAAAGCATGAACGATTTTTTAAATATTTCTACTTTTTGTAACTCTTCTAAAAATGATGTATTATCATTAACGATGTTTCCTGGAAAATTTTATACATAATCCACCTACATAACTTAGTTTCATAATAAAATAGACGATTTTAGCTTTAATTTGAGATATAACTCGTATCTTAATTCCCAGAAATAAAGCATGAACGATTTTTTAAATATTTCTACTTTTTGTAACTCACCTNGTTTAACGATTTTAAAGATATAATCCGTTTTTTAATATCTCAATTAATTCTTGAGATATCAGTCCTTAAAGTTGTCGTTAAAGTCTCACATTTTAATTGATATATTGGTGCATGACACGTTTAAAAACGATTTCTTCGATTTGTATGCTAAATAAAATTTACTTAGAATTGCTTAACGATTCTAGAAAAACAATCCGTTCTCTGATATCTCAATTAGTTCTTGAGATATCAGTCCTTAAAGATAACCTTAAAAAGTGTAATATTTCATTTGATATATTTGTGCAGTTTGAATTCAAAACTGTTTTCTTCGATTATTTATAACAATTAATATTTATTTAGGGTTGTCTAACGATTTTAAAGATATAATCAGTTTTTTAATATCTCAATTAATTCTTGAGATATCAGTCTTTAAAGTTGTCGTTAAAGTCTCACTTTTTAATTAATATATTGGTGCATGACACGTTTAAAAACGATTTCTTCGATTTGTATGCTAATTAAAATTTACTTAGAATTGCTTAACGATTCTAGAAAAACAATCCGTTCTCTGATATCTCAATTAGTTCTTGAGATATCATTATTTAAAGTTAACCTTAAAAAGTGTTACATTCTATTTGATGTATTCGTGCATGTTGTGTTCAAAATTTTTTTCTTCGAATATTTATAACAAATAAAATTTATTTGGGATTATTTAACGATTTTAAAGATATAATCCGTTTTTTAATATCTCAATTAGTTCTTGAGATATCAGTGCTTAAAGTTATCGTTGAAGTGTCTCACACTTTATTTGACATATTTATGCACAGCAAGTTTAAACACGTTTTCTTCGATTTTAATGCTAATTAATATTTACTTAAAATTACTTAACGATTTTATAAAAACAATCGGTTCTTTGATATCTCAATTAGTTCTTGAGATATCAGTCCTTAAAGATAACCTTAAAAAGTGTAATATTTCATTTGATATATTTGTGCACTTTGAATTCAAAACTTTTTTCTTTGATTATTTATAACAATTAATATTTATTTAGGGTTGTTTAACGATTTTAAAGATATAATCCGTTTTTTAATATCTCAATTAATTCTTGAGATATCAGCCCTTAAAGTTATCGGTGAAGTCTCACATTTTATTTGACATATTTGTACACAACAAGTTCAAAAACATTCTCTTCGATTTTTATCCTAATTAAAATTTACTTAGAATTGCATAACGATTTTAGAAAAATAATCCGTTCTTTGATATCTCAATTAGTTCTTGAGATATCATTATTTAAAGTTAACCTTAAAAAGTGTCACATTTTATTTGATATATTTGTGCACTTTGAATTCAAAACTTTTTTCTTTAATTATTTATAATAATTAATATTTATTTAGGGTTGTTTAACGATTTTAGAAAAATAATCCGTTCTTTACTATCTCAATTAGTTCTTGAGATATCATTATTTAAAGTTAACCTTAAAAAGTGTTACATTTTATTTGATATACCTATTAGCGCATTTTGTGTTCAAAATTTTTTTCTTCGAATATTTATAACAAATAAAATTTATTTAGGGTTGTTTAACGATTTCAAAGATATAATCCGTTTTTTAATATCTCAATTAATTCTTGAGATATCAGTCCTTGAAGTTATCGTTAAAAAGTCTCACATTTTAATTGATATACAGGGTGTTTCAGGTTTTTGTAGCAGGACTTTAAGAGTCGATAGATCTTTTAAAATTAGCACAAAAACTTCATATAAAGATAGGTCGAGAAACGCTTTGTTTTGAAGATACAGGGTGTTTTAAAATGTTAAATTTTTTAATTAATTTTTATTTAATATTACACGTGTATTTCAACTGATTCTATTCAAATTTGGTATACGGAGGTTTTTTGGCATGAGAAAGACGATTATGGAGTCCGTTTTACTATAGCCGGTAGAGGGCGCTCCGTAACGTATTCTTTACGGATTAAATTTTTGTGACAGTATACTTTATGGCTTTTTGAACAAAAANTTATTTATAACAATTTATATTTATTTAGGGTTGTTTAACGATTTTAAAGATATAATCCGTTTTTTAATATCTCAATTAATTCTTGAGATATCAGTTCTTAAAGTTGTCGTTAAAGTCTCACATTTTAATTGATATGTTTGTGCATGACAAGTTTAAAATCGATTTCTTCGATTTTTATGCTAATTAAAATTTATTTAGAATTACTTAACGATTTTAGAAAAATAATCCACTCTTTGATATCTCAATTAGTTCTTGAGATATCATTATTTAAAGTTAACCTTTAAAAAAGTGTCACATTTTATTTGATACATTTGTGTTCAAAATTTTTTTCTTCGAATATTTATAATAAATAAAATTTATTTAAGGTTGATTAACGATTTTAAAGATATAATCCATTTTTTAATATCTCAATTAGTTCTTGAGATATCAGTCCTTAAAGTTATCGTTGAAGAGTCTCACATTGGATTTGACATATTTGTGTATGACAAGTTTAAAAACGATTTCTTCGATTTTTATGTTAATTAAAATTTACTGAGAATTGCTCAACGATTTTATTAAAACAATCCGCTCTTTGATATCTCAATTAGTTCTTGAGATGTCATTATTTAAAGTTAACCTTAAAAAGTGTTACATTTTATTTGATATATTTGTGTTCAAAATTTTTTTCTTCGAACATTTATAACAAATAAAATTTATTTAGGGTTGTTTAACGATTTAAAGATGTAATCCGTTTTTTAATATCTCAATTAATTCTTGAGATATATTCCTTGAAGTTATCGTTAAAAAGTCTCACATTTTAATTGATATACAGGGTGTTTCAGGTTTTTGTAGCAGGACTTTAACAGTCGATAGATCTTTTAAAATTAGGTCGAGAAACGGTTTTGGAGATACAGGGTGTTCTAAAATGTTAAATTTTTTAATTATTTTTTATTTAATATTACACGTGTATTTCCACTGATTCTATTCAAATTTGGTATACGGAGGTTTTTTGGCATGAGAAAGACGATTATGGAGTCCGTTTTACTATAGCCGGTAGAGGGCGCTCCGTAACGTATTCTTTACGGATTAAAAAACAATAACTTTTGTGACAGTATACTTTATGGCTTTTTGAACNTTGAGATATAACTTGTTTCTTAATTCCCACAAATAAAGATTGAACGATTTTTTAAAGATTTCTACTTTTATAGCTAACCTAAAAATGAAGTATTTTCTTTAAAAAATGTTTCCTTGAAAATTTTATACATAGTCCACCTACACAACTTAGTTTCATAATAAAATAGACGATTTTAGCTTTAATTTGAGATATAACTCGTATCTTAATTATCAGAAATAAAGCTTGAACGATTTTTTAAATATTTCTACTTTTTGTAACTCATCTAAAAATGATGTATTGACATTAACGATGTTTCCTGGAAAATTTTATACATAATCCCCCGACATAATTCAATTTTATAATAAAATAGACGATTTTAGCTTTAATTTGACATATAACTCGTATCTTAATTCCCAGAAATAAAGTTTAAACGATTTTTTAAAGATTTTTACTTTTTGCAACATTTTTTCTGTAAAATTTTATACATAATTCCCCTACATAACTTAGTTTGATAACAAAATAGATGGTTTTAGTTTTAATTTGAAATATAATTCGTATCTTAATTCCCACAAATTAAGGTTAAAGGTTTTTTTTTAATATTTTGTAACATAAAAATGTAGTATTTGCTTTAAAATTTTTTTCTGTCAAATTTTATACATAATCCCCCTACATAACTTAGTTTCACTATAAAATAGATGGGTTTAGCTTCAATTTGAGATATAATTCATATCTTAATTCCCACAAATTAAGATAAAACGATTTTTTTAAGATTTCAATATTTTGCACTAACCTAAAAATGTTGCATTTACTTTAAAAATGTTTCCTTGAACATTTTATACATAATTTCCCTACATAACTCAGTTTTATAATAAAATAGATCGTTATAGCTTTAATTTGAGATATAATTCGTTTCTTAATTCCCATAAATAAACCTTAAAAGATGTTTTTTTAACTTAACATTTTAACTTGCTATAAATAACGTCATAAATAAAATTGTTTGTCTCTTAATTCTTAGAAATAATGTTTATAACTCTCTTCTAATTTCTTTGAAAGTGTATGGATTATCAAAACAACGTCCTGGTATTTATAGATAACCTATTAAAATAGGTTACTCACCTCGATTACAATCAAAATTAAATCGATATGTTTATACATATATATATATACCCGGTTTTTTACAGAAAAAATAATTTAGCTAATTGTAATAATCTCTTTAATAAAAAAATAACTCGCTGTCACATAAATCAATTTTATCTACAGCTGTCCTAAATAAACCTTTCAACGTCGGGTTTTTACAGAAATGTTCTTATCAACATTACATAGATAAAAGTAAGTTTATTTAAATAATTCGAACTATTTTACTTTCAAATATATAGGAAATGTATTGAAATTGTCGAATTCTTTTACATTTAAATTTAAACCAAAACAAAAAAGTGAAGTTTCGAATAACTTTTTATTTATTTTACGAACGTTGTACTACATTTTATCTTCAAGTACCACTTGAGTCGGATGATCGGCCAAAAGTATAAAAAGAACGGTACCTGATGTAATATTACTCAATGTACAACATGAAACTGATTGTATCGTTGATTTTGTGCGTTTTAGCTGGAACGCAAGGTAATTTCCATTTAATTTTTTTTAAATTAATTAATTCTTATTTGATATTGTTTTAGCCCGTGAAGGTTTTGGCCCGGGGGACCAAGATTGGGGCTATGTAACAGTTCGGGAAGGAGCCCATATGTTTTGGTGGCTTTTTTTCACCACAGCAGATGTAGCGCATTACACTGAAAAACCCTTAATAGTTTGGCTCCAAGGAGGACCAGGTGCTTCATCCACCGGTTACGGCAACTTCGCCGAATTGGGACCTTTAGATCTCAATTTAGAACCGCGAGAGCACACATGGGTTAAAGACGCAAACGTCATCTTCGTTGATAATCCAGTTGGAACCGGGTTCAGTTACGTTGAATCTCCAACTCAATTAACCACCACTAATAAAGAAATCGCGGATGATTTCGTCGAGTTATTAAGAGGATTTTATGAAAAATATCCTGAGTTTAAAACCGTTCCGTTTTATATAGTTTCTGAATCGTATGGTGGTAAAATGACCATTGAAATCGCTTCGGTTCTTGATACCGCGATTAAAGGGGGAAGTATTGAATCGAATTTTATTGGAGTTGGTTTGGGCGATTCTTGGTTAGAACCTGTTACAATTGTGCAACAATGGGCACCTTATTTATGGAGTGTTGTAAGTTATTTTTTTTATTGCATAAAGATATTATTATTAAATTAAATTAATTATATTTAGGGTGCTGTTGATCAAAGAGGACGTGATAACGTTCAAGCAGCGGCTGATTTAACGAAAGAACTTTTTGAGCAAGGACGATATGTTCAGTCAACAAATCAATGGGGAACGACAGAATACGTTATTTGGGATGAAGCTGCCAATATCGATTTTTATAACATTTTAACCCCAATCAGAGCTAGAGGTAAATCGTATCGTCCGCTCGCCAAACCTGAAGGGGCGACAAGAGATGAAGAAGACGAAATTTTAGAAAGGATTATGGCTCAAGTTAGAGAATCTTTAGGTTTAGAGGCACAATGGGGTGTTCAAAGTAACGCTGTTTTTAGTACTCTATCTGAAGATTTTATGAAACCCGTCACACAAGTCAGTAAGTAAAGCAAGTAATTTGCTTTGAAACCGTTATCTTTTGAGTGCTTCGAGATAACCCATAAAAGATTGGTAATCAAAAAAATATTAATTTTATCTATGTTTTAATCTTAAATTTATAATAACAAGGTTTTAATTTTAATTTTTTTTTAGCTGAATATGTTTTGGATAACACCGATGTTAAAGTAGCTGTTTTTAACGGCCAATTAGACTTGATCGTTTGCACTCCGGGCATCGTTCTTTGGTTGGATAGCCTCCAATGGAGCAAAACTTCTGAATGGTTATCCGCACCAAGACCGCCTTTCGCCGTTAACGGTTATTACGAAGGTTTTGAAAAACATGCCGGAAATTTAGCTATGTACTGGGTAAATAGAGCTGGTCATATGGTGCCATCTGATAATCCAGCTGCTATGGATTATATATTAAGAAAATTAACCAACGATTATGATGGAAATGTAAAAAGAGCATAAAAAGAAATATCTTTTTTGAAATAAAATTGTATAATTAATTTTTTTTTTTATTGTTTGAATTTGAACGAAACAGGCATCGTAGTCCACCATGCAAAGAAGAGCGAATCCTTTTATTTGCGTATCCACCGCGTGTTATCATCGGATACCATCCAGATGTTGTCCGACAGGACAATAGCCTCCGCGGTGTTCTAACGACACCCTGTATGCCCTCACGTTTAGTATCTGATTGTCCGCAAACCCATCGGGAAGACCCTCTCAGAAGAAGGTTCCCTCTTTTCAAATCGCCCCTTGAGATCTGCATTTCGCAACCCGTCGTCGTCGGCTCCCTTTTACCACCACCCATACCATTGTTTCAACAAAACTTCTTTTCATTTAATTTTCATAAATTTGTTTTTTTTTTGTTTTTATTGATCTGTGATGTGGTATTTCTAATCGGTTATCGTTCAATTCTGAACCGTTGAGGATAAAGAGTAGGAGTTGTTGTTGAAAGGGTTAAAGTGGCAATCGTGGTGCGACTAAACGTCAAGAATTCAGCGCCGTCCTGTCAAGGATCAGGACAATGGAGTGACAGTTCTATGGTACCGATGCAAGATACGCCCGATTGCAGTACACCTCGCATGTCGGGGTCTTCGAGATTATCATAATACGGGGACGTAGAGGATAAATTTATTGGTTAACGAGCACAAATTGAACGATGTAAATTGGAAAAATCACATTTTTTATTTGTAATAAGTTAATTTTCAAAGAAATAATTTAATAATTAGTAATCAGCAATCTTTTAATTTTATTTTCTTGAATTTTCGTCTTTACAATTTTCCATTTAGGCGATGATCATAACTATTTTTTCTATGTAAACGCACAAAAACACTGAATTTTCACTCATTTTAATTAGCTACAACAATTTGAGGCTTTTCCAAATCAATTTTTAAGCATTATCTTATTTCTTACACATCATTGACATATTTCTGCATAACAAGTTTAAACACGTTTTCTTCGATTTTTATGCTAATTAAAATTTACTTAGAATTACTCAACGATTTTATTAAAACAATTCGTTCTTTGATATCTCAATTAGTTCTTGAGATATCATTATTTAAAGTTAACCTTAAAAAGTGTCACATTTTATTTGATATATTTGTGTTCAAAATTTTTTTCTTCGAATATTTATAACAATTAATATTTATTTAGGGTTGTTTAACGATTTTAAAGATTTAATCCGTTTTTTGATATCTCAATTAGTTCTTGAGATATCAGTCCTTAAAGTTATTGTTAAAAAGTCTCACATTGGATTTGACATTTGTCATTTGTGCATGACAAGTTTAAAAACGATTTCTTCAATTTTTATGCTAATTAGAATTTACTTAGAATTACTTAACGATTTTATAAAAACAATCCGTTCTTTGATATCTCAATTAGTTCTTGAGATATCAGCCCTTAAAGTTAACCTTAAAAAGTGAAATACTTCATTTGATATATTTGTGCAGTTTGAATTCAAAACTTTTTTCTTTGATTATTTATAATAATTAATATTTAAGATTGTTTAACGATTTTAAAGATATAATCCGTTTTTTAATATCTCAATTAGTTCTTGAGATATCAGTGCTTAAAGTTATCGTTGAAGTGTCTCACACTTTATTTGACATATTTATGCACAGCAAGTTTAAACACGTTTTCTTCGATTTTAATGCTAATTAATATTTACTTAAAATTACTTAACGATTTTATAAAAACAATCGGTTCTTTGATATCTCAATTAGTTCTTGAGATATCAGTCCTTAAAGATAACCTTAAAAAGTGTAATATTTCATTTGATATATTTGTGCACTTTGAATTCAAAACTGTTTTCTTCGATTATTTATAACAATTAATATTTATTTAGGGTTGTTTAACGATTTTAAAGATATAATCCGTTTTTTAATATCTCAATTAGTTCTTGAGATATCAGTCCTTAAAGTTATATAGATAAAAGTAAGTNGTTTACATTTACCACATTTCGATAGCTATTTTCGTTTTCAGCCTATAAGCGAATATATATATTTCGCCCCGATTTCCAACCCTTATAACTCGCCCCAGGGGCTTTATTAGCACGTATAAAAAAATACGTAAACCTTATTTTTGGCCATACTATCGCTGTACCAAATTTCAACAAAATCGGTGAGGGACAGTTCTGATACTTCCCTTGTAAGTTGTACCACAACACCCTTGGCAAGTTATTTTAAAAGATGGGCTGTTTAGTCAAGTGCCATTTTTCGTTTCAAAAAAATATTGCGTTTTTTATTATTTTAGTTTTTTATTGTTATTTAAAGAATTCATACTTTGGTATGCTATTTGTATTTACTCTTTATTTCCTCTTAACTTTGTTAGAAGATGTGCCACTCAATATCTACAAAACTACAAAATGTGGTTTCAACAAGATGGTTGCCCTTATGTCTTGCAACAGGACTGTTTCAAATAAGGTTAACAAAAGGAATTATTAATTTATTTATTATTAATTTTATTGCATTATTTTCTTAAAACTAAAGGAAATGCTCAAATTGTTTGCCGTCGGCATTAATACAAGCTCTGCATCGTCGCAGAAAAGATCTTTTTACTAGTTGTGCAAATCTCTTTGCATTCATTTCTTTTACTACTGTATAAATATTGTGGCGCAGTTCGGCAAGATTTTCAATCGGTTTTTAATACACTGTTTCTTTTATGCAATCCCAATAAAAAAATCAAGGGGATTTAGGCCCAGAGAATGACGATTTTTTAATAACGTATTTTTTGCAGAAAAACAGGAAATAATATTTTTTAGGAAAAGGAAAGTGGCAAGTGTTATACCATTTTGGAATCTTGAACACCATCTTTTAAAATAACTTTCCAAGGGTGTTGTACTACTCCTTTTTTTAGAAAGCATGTGTCAAACTTAATAGACATAAATTCTTTCAACCTTAACTCAATCAAACTATTTTTTTTTACAAAACTAACGACTTTTGTTGTTTGATTTGTGACTTCTATAGTAGCATGGTTCATAAGGAATACATTATTAAAATAATCACTATTAAATTGCGAACATGGCATTTTTTTCTTATTTTTACCAGAACAGGTATCTCTCACCTGGTGCCTGCATGATATTGAGTTTCGGGACACTCTATATACAGGTGTTTCAGGTACTTCATGTACACATAGGTCGACAAACGCTTTGTTTTGGAGATACAGGTGTTCAAATTAAATTTTTAAATTAATTTTTATTTAATATTACACGTGTATTTCCACTGATTCTATTCAAATTTGGTATACGGAGGTTTTTTGGCATGAGAAAGACGATTATGGAGTCCGTTTTACTATAGCCGGTAGAGGGCGCTCCGTAACGTATTCTTTACGGATTAAATTTTTGTGACAGTATACTTTATGGCTTTTTGAACAAAAATTCTTATTCTCGGTACATTTTTAAGCAAAAACGAACGTTTTCAGGATATTCCGCTTTTTATTATTCGATACACACCAATGTTTTTAGAAGATAGTTAAAATAATATGTGCCATAGAAACAAAGTAGGTAAATGTTTAGCGGTTTTAAAGATATAATCAGTTTTCTAATGTCTCAATTATTTCTTGAGATATCAGTTTTTAAAATTGTCATTGTGCAAAATATTTTCTGACACTTTTCTAAAGCAATTTTTAGTCAAATTTCATATATCTAGCTGATCAACAGATTATATATATATATAGTTTTTGAATGATCGACTTGTTAGAGCAATGTTTTGATATAACTTTTAAATAGTAACCTAATGAATGGAATGGGAGTGTCTAAAAAGCACACAAAACCAAAGAGAAACAAGAATCACTCGGCGTAGTACGAAAACAACTCGCGAAACGCGGTCGCTTTTATGTTTTGATTCTTGCGGTTAAATTTAACTGGACAGATAGATAAATTTCAATTTGGTTTAACGACACATAGATCAACTGCGAGAAACATCTGAAATTGGAACACAATAACAAGTTTTCCGTTTAGAAAAAAATATGTGTACAAGATTTTTTTTGGTAATTGAGTGTGGTTAATTGGTTAATTTTATTAGGGGTTTTAAGTGGAGCTATAGAGCAACACGTGCTAGTGTCGTTTTTAAAAGCCGAAAAAGAAAAAGCCGGCTCCGGTCGTATATTTCAATTTGCAGGGGCAGGCGATTATGATATCGCCAGTGACTTTTACGATCTGTTTAGTGAACATAACAGTCACTGGGTGAATTTTATGGGTATATAAATAAGCCGAACGAGCGCATGTGCCGATACGAGCCCGCGCGCTCTCGCAGCTCCCCGTAAACCTCCATCTACTATCGTTGGTTCTGTCTTTGTCTCCCCCGCGTTTCTACCTCGACGCTTTTCTGGTTATGTTCATTGGCCACTTAAAATCTCGTAAAATGACAACTCGAACTCGTGTTCTACACTTCACGTAGAATACTTCGTGTTGAATACTTTGTCTCTTTCTTCTTCTCCACCACCAACGTTCATTTCACTTTGTTCCCCACTTTTATGACTCTGTTGCTTCCACTTTTATGGGTAAACGTTAAACCTTAAAATTATCCTTTTATTAAGTGTTAATTTCGGGTTATTTTATTTTCTAATTGAGAAATATTTCGAAACAAGAAATAAATGAATTCTCGATATAGATCTTGGGTTGGTTGGTATTCGTTTTTTAAAAAAATAATTACACATAGACTGGAAATGAGCCGACAAGGTATTAGTTTGCCCGGAGGTAGTCAAGTCGATTGGGTCCGATATATAAGTAAAAAAAAAATTTTTTTCTCAAAAAAGAAACCAAAAAGATCCCGAACGAACATGAAATAGACGGAGAAAAGAAGGTTCCTTGGGCAGAGAAAGAGCGACGCGTTGTTATTATAATAATAATCACATGCGAGAATGGCAGGATGCGGTCATAAATCATAAGGCGGGCGATCCGGCCACCACTTTGACTGATTTATCTTCTCCGCTACCCGGTCGACCTCTTTTTGTACACGGACCTCACTTCACTCCCGCGGGACTCATGGCGACCATGTGTATAAAGAAGAA